CATTCCCAGGGCTATGGATTGTTTTGGGGAGTGGTGGTGGGGGGAAGAGCCCAGTGAGCTAAGTGAGGTGTTAGGAGCATGCCATTTCTTTCAGTGTCCTAGGCGGAAAGAGATAGCATCTCAAAGGTGCTGAACACAAGGACTACTTACACAGACATAGGCAGGATTAACAGACAAGGGGTGGTGACTCTCCCAGGGTCTAGCCAAAGCTGGGAGGAGGAGGGGGATTTCCAGAGTCCAGGGAAAGCCAGACTTGTAGAAGAGGGGGTCCTGGATAGAGCTGTGGCATCAGAGGGGAAAAGCCACTGCCTGACCCATCACAAAGCTGGGAGGGAGGGAGGGGTGGAATAGATAGACCAGCCTCTCCCTACCCCCACCCTCCATTCTTGAGCTGGCGTTTCCACTGGCCAAACCAGCCAGGAGCCATAGGGCAAGGTGACAGAGTCCACAGAGCAAGGCAAGCAGGCAGAGAATGGGAACGATCAGCCAGGTCCCACTGTCCTGCAAGGCTGTTGTCTAGGAGGAAAGAGTAGTGAGTTGGACACCTGGCTTAGGATCAGCTGAGTTGGGGTAGTGGGTGTTTAGTCAGCGTCTGGCTAAATTCTGATTTATTCTCTTTGCTTTTTGGAAATGTAATAATCTCTCCATCAAAGCTCCATCTATCTGCCAAAATAATGCATGTCCTTTTGTACAAATGAAAGAATTACTGCTATTATGCAAACACTGAAAGGGTACCACATTTGCATGCAGAGGAGAAAAAAAGAAAAATCCTATTTGCAATAAAATTAATTATACCAGTGTACAAAGAGACACATGAGTATCCATTTAACACTTGGACAGGAGCAGAACTAACTTTCCTTGCCAACCTCGATGAAATAATGGAAGCCAAAAAGAAAACACTCTGAAAATAGAGGCCTGCATAGAATAAACAGGAATGGGGATTTCTGGCCATTTGAAGACTTTCCCCCACCCCCAACAGAAACAAAAGATTGAAATAAAGGTTTTTTACAAATACTAACCATGAATATTAATGTTCTATAGCTGATGCCTGAACCAAGTTCCTCATTAAAATGGCCTCTCAGCAGGGAAATGTTAGCAGGAGGGTTTGGAACGGGTGTGAGGCCGTGTGGGGATTATGCTTTGCATCTGAGACCAGAAGGAAGGCGGATGTGTTAGGTTCAGAACTTGACAGATGTTTATTATATTGTTTGATCATTAGGAAATGGGAGTTTTGAAGAGAAGGTGAAGGAATCATTTCTTCTGGAGGAGAGGGAATTAAAGTGTCATCTGAGGGGCATTCAGTTCACAAAACGTCGTCTTCCCCCTTGGGTTCCTTATGTTGTATTGACACTGTTGGTTTGCTTGTCTGTGTCTGTGTCAACCAGATGGAGAGCATCCAGGGGACAGGCCCTGTGCCGACCGAGAGCTCATTCTCTTCTGTATCTCCAGTGCTCAGCCCAGGGTAGGCACTGAGAAATGCTGTAGTGAGAAATATAGTAATGAATGAACCACAGAACTGTAGAGTCCCAAGTACCCTGACAAAGCACCAGTTTCAATGGTTCTGAAAGAATAAATGTGTTTGGGGTGGGGATTTGGGCAGTGGTGGTTGGGGAAGAGTAAGAAAGAGGAGATGTATTTTGTGGGGGGTGAGTTTTTGAAATGTACCCCTACTAATCCACCTGCTATTTCAGTTCCCACAGCTTTTGTGGGACATCAAGACCCAGTGAGAGTGAACTCTGCGTTTTGGGAAGCTCCGTTGGGTGACTCCCTCCCCAGCCCTGCTGAGAACCACTTTTCCAACACCCACCCACCCAGCCACCCCTCCAACACTTCCTGTTCTAGGGCTCAGCTCAGCATCTGCCGCAAAACAGATGTCACCAAACTCTAAATGAATGACTGTCACAGGGAAGACTGCTCTGAAGAAGTAGTAATAATTTGCCTGAGGCTGCCCACAGCAAGATCATGAAGGATCATCACAGAGGAAACGTTGACCAACCTTTTCTACACCTGCCCTTACTCTCTCAAGGTCAGGGTAAAAGTTAAAAGCTATCAGTTGTGAACCAAAGGTGTAGGTCAGAACTTTTCTGCAGATGGAGTGTCTCTAAGCAGTGGGACCAGCCCTTGGAAGAAGTGGGATTCTTTCATTCCATCCTCCACTGAAGTGTTAAAATGTAAGGGGCACTCATTTAGATTCAGCCTTTGCGGGGCCAAAAAATAGCCTAGAATGAATAGTTTCCTGTTACCAAGAATCATCCCACAACTCTATAATTTTTATCTGGAAATTACATTACTGCCAATGAATGCAGTGGTGTGGATAAAAGAAAAGATAGCGCTATGTCCTCATCTCTTGGTCTGTATAACAGATTGTAAATTGAGTTTATTTATCTGATGGTATATATAGTTTTGGTAGTACAGTGTATCACTAAAAACATGGATTCTGTGGGTATACTAAACACCAGTAAATGGTACACTTTAAGGTGGCTAATATAAATTTTGCAAAACACACACACACACACAAGAAAGTGGTTGGATTCTGGAGTTTGAGTTTGAATACTGGTTCTGCTGTCTACGAGCTAAGTGACTTTGGTAAGTTATTTAACCTCTCTGTGCTTCTGTTTCTTCATCTGTAAGATGGGATGAGAATAGCACTTCCTTTGTGAGGTTATTGTAACAATTAAATGAGATAAAATATGCAAAACTCTTAGAACAATGACATGCATAGTAAGTGCCATTCCAGTGTGAACTTTCACTATTATTTTTGCAGATGACATACCCCATGGGGAGATGAGCCTGGTGTAATTTTTGTTGCTTGTCTACAAGGTTATGTATTATTTAATAAAGGAAGTAAGGACTGACAACTGAAGTTGTCTGATACTGAGTCAGATGGAGTCTCTTTGTGAGAAAGAATAATTTGTTTTCCTAGGCACAGTGCTAATATAAATTATTTGTTTTGCATTCCTGAATCATAGAATCCTAGACAGTGGAAAAGGGCTCACAGTCCCTCTCTGCTTGAATAGAGAAGAAACCAACTTGGTTAAGGCTGTGCAGCTAGCTGTGGCCTGGTCTTCTAGTTGCTAGAGCAGTGCTCTTTCTGCCCATCGCCATAGTTACAATAACTCAGTGCACAGAAATTCATTTTGTTTTTGCATCTTCAATGTTTAAAGGGAAATACACACACTCAAGAATCAAGGTGCAGACAGTATTTTAATTCTGCAGGAAGTCACAGGCATTTAATTGGAATGCACCATGTTGTCTGTTTTGATGGAAGGTGGTTAAGGCTATATCAACATAATAGGGTTCTTAGTTAAAATTAAAGACAAGCTTGGGCTAACTTGAGTAGTTAAAGGATTTACTGTAAAGATACCAGGTAGTATGAGAATTGAAGGAGGCTGAGTGAACCAGGCTTGGAAAATAACCAGAACAAGAGGTCAGGCAGCAGCTGCCACAGCCAAGGTCACCCCTCAGGATCAGTCTGGTAAAGATGTTGCCAGGCACTGCCGGCCCTGGACATTCAATGCCAAAGCCCCAGACCTTGCATGACGCTGCTGCCAGTGGACTCTCATCCTTGGCAGCTCAGCTGTCTGTGCAATCTCTCACTTGGTCTTGTCTGTGTCTTTGCATCACTCTTCCTGATTCAAAATCCCAGAAGGAGTATCCCATTAGCTGGACTCAGTCAGCTATCTGAGATCCAAGGTGGTTGGTAGGTGGGGTGTGGGGCAGGGCATGGAGAGAAGGTTCCTACCTATAACCAAGATTTACAAAGGAGGACCCCTCCTTTGTAATGCCAGGTAAGTTAAAAAGAAGTAAATGAACAAAAACAAAAAACCCACAACAATCAGGAAAATCCAGAGACCGTGTATAGCCTAGAGGTCTGCCCTTGGCCCCTGTTTGGAGTTGGCATCCTCTACCCTGCCTGCTCTCTCCTCCCTCCCTTCCTTCCCAACCCTCCTGCCCATGCCAGAGGGAACAGATGCTCCAAGAAGGACCACAAGGTCACTCTATTACGGCTCTGTTTACTTCAGTCACTGCAGATTCACCCCATACCCCTTGAGTGTCTTCTTACTCCAATTAAAGTAAAATCCAACTGCTTACTTATTTTTTTTTATTGTGATAAAATTCACGTAACATAAAATTCTACCATGTGCACCCTTTAGAGTACACAATTCAGTGGCTTTGAGTACACTCACAGTGTTGTGCGAATATCACTACTATATTGTTCTAGAACACTCTCATCATCCCCAAATGAAACCTCATACCTATTAAGCAGTCACTCTCCATTGCTGCCTCCCCCCACCCCCAGGAAACTATTAATCTACATCCCATCCTTATGGATTTGCCTATTCTGGAACTTTCATATAAATGAAATCTTATATTACATAACTGCCTTACTATAATTCCTACTCTCCCTCTGTGGGAGGTTCTCCACGACCGATCTCTTCCCCACTTTGCAGCCTCACCTGAGCACAGGATGGAAAGCCAGTACTGTTCACTCAGCTCTTTCCTGATGAGGTCAATGGATCTTAAAAACCATTAGAAAGTCTGTAAGAATCCCCCAGAGAACCAGGAACTGGTTGGGTGTTTCTGTATGGCTAATAATACAGCACATTTTTTTTGTAAAGGTATTTTATTTAGATAACTAAAAACAATTAGATGTTTAGAAGCAGTGTACAAAGAAAGAGAAATCAAATTCATTACTTTATCATGTATTCCCTCTTGTTTATGACTAAAGCAAAAAAAAAAATAGGCATTCTGCTTTATTGGAAAAGTCATAAAAATAAGTCAATATATTTTTCTTCTCCATAATAACATAAGCAGCTATAAGAAATCTAACCATAAGAAGAGAAATTGGATGTTGGCTTGCACATATTAATTTTTAAAAAAACAACAGGCCATCATACATAACTCCCCCTGCATTCATCTGATACTCTTGAGTTTTCACTTACAGGTAACACTGGGTTAGTTGTTCCAACACTGGAGCTAATTCATATATTCCCCATTGTTTATGTCTGTCTTTTCTTTTAGCAGAGAGTAACTCTGGAAGGCTGATGCTTTTCTCTGCTTGCTTGCTTTAGTCTATAGGTTGTATACTATTTGTGGTATGTGTCTGATGCTCGGGCCTTAACTTCAGGAGTTGAAGAATAGATGGAATCTGAATTCTCTGAAGCAATTTCTTCTAGCTCCTCTTCTGTTGTCTCTGAAAAACCAACCTTTGGTTTTGCCAGGTCACCACTATTTTCCTCAGGAAGCACACATTTCCAGAGGTCATATATTTTTCCTACCACAGTTTCAGACCCACTGGCATAGAGCTCTCCATCAAGACTAAATCTCCCACGGTGAATAGGACCAAAGTATCCTCTGTAGGATTCTAATTCTTCTCCACTATTATAACCATACTTATGAAGTTTAAAATCTTCACCATTTGCAACAAGAAATTCTTTCTCAGGAGGAAGTGATGCAGAATTGATGGTTGCGGGAGCTTCAGAGGATTTAATTGGGTCCAGATTTACTGCACTATGAAAAGCAATAGATTGTCCATAAGTTATAACCAAAATCTCTCCCTCAGGAATATATTCCATACTACTAACAGACATATTAAAATCTAGAGATTTCACTTTTGTCATAGTAGCAAGATCCCAAAGTCGAACAGTTTTATCATCAGCTGAAAGAATCTGTTTATCTTCACTGCACCATAGAGCCTTTTTTTTTTTTTTTTTTTTTTTTTTTAATAGAGACAGAGTCTCACTCCAGTGCCCTCGGTAGAGTGCCGTGGCATCACACAGCTCACAGCAACCTCCAACTCCTGGGCCCAGGCGATTCTCTTGCCTCAGCCTCCCGAGCAGCTGGGACTACAGGTGCCCACCACAATGCCTGGCTATCTTTTTGTTGCAGTTTGGCTGGGACCGGGTTCGAACCTGCCACCCTTGGTATATGGGGCCGGCGCCCTACCCACTGAGCCACAGGTACCACCTCTACACCATAGAGCCTTTTTAATACCAGAGGTGTGACCACTAATTTCCTTAGGTTCTGCTTCAGGTCTGTTTAAATCGTATATGCGTAAGTTTATCTTGTCCCCCAGTTAATAAATAATCCTGTGTGAAATCCAGTCTTGACAATGTGTTTATGAGCCAGGGTCATCAGTTTATCTCCTGAGACAGTATCCCACACTTTGGCTGTGAAATCTGCAGCTGCTGTAGCTGCTTTGGTGGCATCCTTATTCAATGTTGCATCCCAAACAGCACCTTTATGACCCAAAATGCTCCAATCCAGTCTCCTGTATCTCCCTGTTGTAGCATAGGTTTACCATCTTTGCAAGTGCTGATTAAGAAACACCCTTAAGGGGTGATGCCATTGAAGGCTAGATCAACCACAGGCTGTGTGTGGTCGGAGCAAGTGAGTGGTGTCTATCTCATTACCATGGTGGCGACTGGAGGGTCTTTGTCATCATCTGTTCTCTCCGGGTAGTAATGATTTTCTTCTGTTATTGGTATCTGCCTGTCCCACCTCCCCTGCCCACACCCCTGTAAGGGATCCCTTCATTGAGATATTTTCTTTTCTTTTCTCTTCTTTTTTTTTTACATGTTCATTTTGCTTATTCTTTTATTTATTTTATTATTTTTTATTAAGTCATAACTTTGTACATTGATGCATTTAGGGGGTTCAGTGTACTGATTTGATATACAATGTGAAAGGCTTACATTGAAATAAGTAACACATCCATCACAATTATAATCATTTCTTAATAGTTTTGAAATGTACCATTGCATCATGCACATTAGGTGAGGTCCCCCAAATGCCCTCCCTCCTCCCATATCCCTTCCCTTCTCCCCTCTCTCCTCTTCCCTTCTACAATCTGGACTATAGTTATGCTTTGCCATTCATATGAATGTGTAGTTTCATTTGCGTTGTATGGGGCAAACTTTGTTTCCTGTTGGGACCTGCCTGATGTAGTGTTCCTCTCCTCCCCCACTCCTGAACTCCTGGAGAATAGGAACATTAGTCATGTCTGTGTGCAAAGGTTACTCTTCCTAAAATGTTAAATGAATCAATCAAAACTGTATGGAAGGTCTTTTTTCATGAATCTTGCAAAGCTGGGTCAAAGAACAAACTTAACTAGCAGCATGCTTTTAGTTTCTAACTATTTCCAAGAAAGAAACCAGGATTCTTACCATATCATCTCTTCCTGAGGTTCTCCATGCCTCCAGGTACGGCTCCAGTGTCCCAGTGCAATAGTGCAATACCTGCCAGGGACCTAGATAACATTATTTAATCTTTTTTCAAATTCGGGTATTGATTACAACAGTATATGCAAATACATTACCTTAAAAGGGCTATGTGTCCAGGAAGCCAAGTATGTGAAACCTTTCACCCATAATTGCAAGTGCAATGTATCAGTTTTCTCAAACCACCATCAGGCTTCTGAGTTGCTTAATCACTTTTATTAAGTGACTCAGCGCCACTAAATAACCGTCCCTGGTCTTCTTTCTCCAGGCCTTGTTGCTACAGATAAATTAATCCGTGCTCTGGAGTTGCCTGACCAATACATCTCCACTTCTGACTGAAGGTGTTCAGGGCTGGGAATGCAGACATGAGGACAGGCTGGCAAATTAAATATATGATTCAGAGTTCAGACCTGAGGAGAGACAAAAGGCAGAGAGGAGTGCTCAGGGCAGGTCAAAGAATTTGGGTAGAAGTGGTCAGAATCTATACAAGGGGTCCAACGCCAAAAGCATCGGCAAGAATGAGACCTGCTATTGAATCTAAAGTCCTCTAAAGCAGGGCCACCTAATATGCTTCCTTCCAGACCACTGTTCCCCATCTTCCACTATTCTCAGAGTTTAGGAACAAGTGGCTGAAGTACAGGGATTGGGGTGGAGATTTTGGTAACTTCCAGAACAGGTCAAAGATTAAGAATTTCTGTTTGCATTTCTAGCCTCAGTTTTCTTTTGTTGGGTTAAACTAGACAGCCTTACTTTGGTGCTTACTGGTAAAAGACAATACATTTACATTTTTATGAGCGTATTTACCTTTCAGAGACTCAAAGGATGTGAGAACTGGGAGAATCCTTACAGGTTATCCATATTACTTTTTTTAGTGGAGGACAGTTTCACTCTGGCCTGAGCTAGTGTACGATGGCCTCAGCCTAGCTCACAGCAACCTCAAATTCAAGCAATCCTCCTGTCTTGGTCTCCTGAGTAGCTGATACATGTGTTACCATGCCTGGCTAATTTTTCTATTTTTAGTAGAGATTGGGTTTCCTTTGCTCAGGGTGGTCTTGAACTCCAGACCTTAACTGATCCTTCTGCTTTGGCCTCCTAGAGTGCTAGAATTACAGGTGTGAGCCACCTTATCCAGACTACTTTTATTTTGAGAAAAATATGGAGGGCCAGAGAGCTTAAGTGTTACTGGTAGGATTATTTACGTTATAGACTAAAAACTAAATCCTGACAACAAACGGAATTCATTGGTCTATATAAATGAAGAATATAGAAGTCTGTCAGCTTCAGGTGTGGCTTGATCTAGTTGCTTACTACTCAACAAGGTAACCAAGGCTCTGATTTTTTTTCATTTTCCCATTATGTGTTTCTTAGTATTCCTCCATTGCCTAGCAATCTAGTCTCTATCCTTGTGATCCTATGTGAGTGCATTAATTCCAGATGTTCCATAATTGATAGGAACTATAGCAGGTAGGCAAATCTCTCTGCCCTGATTGGGTTCATGACTGCCCTTAAACTAACTTCTGTAGCCAGGAGGATGGAATAGAACAATGGCTTTAAGATAATCAGGCCCTACTCCTGGAGTTAGAGGTCAGGTGAATAACAGCAATACTACCTAGGTGAGAATGGAGGAAAAGTGGTTTTACAAATAATGTTTGGGGTTCTAATGGTGAGAGAATGAAAGAATGGATACTGACAAGGCTGACAGCAGGCGTCTAAAGCCAATGACCTATCCAGTGTCAAGCAGCTGGTCATGGCTGATCTGGGACTAGACTCAGCTCTCCTCACTAAATATTTGCATATGGATGGCTTATGATTCCACTTAACGTACATGGTTCACAATAGACATTCAAGTAGATTTGCTTGCATTCTGTTTCTTCTTCAGTCTATGATTAAAAATATGTACAAAAATACACCTAACCATTCAGTCACAGTAATGAAGACAGTTGTCTGGGTTGCTTAATTTTGCATTTTCATTAAAGCATGAGGTTTTGGGAGAAATTAAGTAGATTTGAGAGAATGAGAGTTATCATTTAAATAAGTGTCCTTCAGTATTCCTGGGTTTTTGGCAGTGTTCTGTAATGTTTTGCTGAACTGGAATAGTTTTGGGGTAACCTATAGGAGGTGCCTAAGCCTGGATTTTGGTTTTTCTTCTCTCTGGCCAAAATGCCAGAAAGGGATAGATCCCTTTCTCTTACTCAGGAATTACTGATGCAAAGAAGAGAAGAAGTGCTGTAGGTACCTGTCATGTGTCAGGCACTGTGCTAAGCACTGGGGATACAGAGGAGAACTCAGCCTTAAAGAGCTCTAAGTTTGGGAGGAAAGGTAGATAAGTAAAATACCATAACAGTGTGATAATAGGCAGAAGAATAAAGCACCTTGAAAACGCAGAGAAAGGCAGAATGTTGGGAGTGGGAAAGAGCTGGGGAAGGCTTTCTGACATTAGCTGGATGGGAGCAGGGAGGAGTTCTACAGAGGAGACTCATGACAACCAAGGCAGGAAGCCTTATAGCAAGGTTTATGTGAAACCTCAAATATCAATAATTCAGAAGGACAGAGATAGATGTTTGAGAAAGGAAGGGAGGACAGAGATAAGGTGCTGACAGGCAGGCAGGAGCAGGGTCATGGAAGGTCTTGGGCTTTGTGTTACAGAATTTGGTATCTGTTCTTTAGGTGATGGGATGCCTCTAAAGAGTTTGAATTAAGAGCAAGACATGGTTTGTGTGTATCTGACATATTTCTGTATGAATTCTGTGGTTGCACAGTATTTTAATTAAGTTCCAACAGAGGAACTGTATTGAAGAATTATGGGATCACTCAAGCAATGAAAGGAAAATCTAAAGAACGTAGGCTCTAAGGTTCAGGAATACAGAAGTAACAGGAATCAACTGAAAGTCTCCTCGGTTCAGAAGTATCAGGTCAAACCACTTTCAGTCTTTATGTGGCTCTACTTAGGATTCAAATTCCAGATGAAAGATGCCATATTGTCCCAGCTTTGGGGCATACCCATCCTGGATCAGGTAAAGTCAGCATCTTGATTGGCTATATCCCCAAGCCCTCACTGGGGCAGGTTAAGTTTCTAAAGGAAAATTGGAGTGTTGCTATTGTAAGAAAAAGGAATGCCAGCTACTCTAGCTAAACCAATGGGTGTCTACTTCAACAGCTGTTTGCAAAGTAGATTTTAAGGGGTCAAAAGACTAAGGGAATTAGAAGGCAAAAGATGATTGCCTTTAGTTAGACTAGGGCTGTGGTGATAATTATAAAGAACTATAAGATTTAAGAACATCTATGAGATTGGTGATTGTAGAAGAGGGAAGAGGGCAGAATCAAGGATGGTTCTCAGGTTCTGGCATGGAGTAATAAATACCACTACAGGAGGGAAGATGAAGGAGGTGGCGGTGGGGTGGGGGTAAATGGCCAATTACTTACAACACATCTCGTTTGAGAAAGCTGTGGGACATCAGTGGAGGTTAGAATTTGCAGTGTAGTAACTGAACCCATGGGTATAAACAATATAACCTAGGAAGGATTCTGGAAGGAGCCACAGAAAACATCAACATTTAAAATAGGCTTGACAAGAAAAAAAGTGAAAAGACAGGAGAAATGGAGAAAAGAACCAGGAATGTGCAAGGTCACAGAAAACTGCAGGATCAAGTTTCAAAGAGGGGGTGGATTTGCTCCCCGGTGAAGGCAGAAGCCACATTCTAGGATTCTAGGGAGCGAATGGAGAAATGGAAGGAAACACATGTGGGCCACCACTGCAAGAGTCTTGGATGAGAAGAACTGGTTAACTGCAGAGTAGCTGGAAAGGGTACAGAGTGGAGGGAGTTAGGTGTTGATTTTTTGCTATTTAAATATTCACATACCATGTCCTTTAAAGTGTACAATCCAGTGGCTTTTAGTATGGTATATTCATGAAGTTGTACGGTCATAACCATTATCTAATTTCGGAACATTTTTTCACATCCCCGTACCCCACAAGAAATTCTGTATCCATTAAACAGTCGTTCCTCATTTTCCCCTCCTCCCAGTCCCTGGCAATCACTAATCTTTCTGTCTCTATGAAATTACCTATTCTGATACATTTCATATAAACGGAATCATACTCTATGTGGGCTTTTGTGAGGCTTCTTTCACTTAGCGTGTTTTCAAAGGCTCATCCATGATGTAGCATGTAATAGAACTTCATTCTTTTTTATGGT